TTCTTTTTTAAAAAAAATATTATTGATTTTAGAGAGAAAAGAAGAGGGAGAGATAGAAACGTCAATAATGAGAGAGAATCATTGATTGGCTGTCTCCTGTATGCCCCAAACTTGCGATCAAGCCTGCAACCCAGGCATATGCTCTGACCTAGAACCCAACCATGACCTCCTGGTTCATCAAATACTGAGCAACACTAGCTGGGTGGAAATGTTCTTTACACAGTCACTCTTGGCATAGTTGAGACCAGGCCTTATATTTTCTGATTCTAAATTCTGTGGTCTTCTCACTACATCAAACTTCCTATCCTGTGATGATTATCTAGAAGGCATATAGAACCGAAACCAGTTTGGCTCAGAAGATAGAGCATCTGCCTGTGGACTGAAAGGTCCCAGGTTTGATTCCAGTCAAGGGCACTTACCTTGGTTGCAGGCACATCCCCAATAGGGGGTGTGCAAGAGGCAGCTGATCGATGATTTTCTCTCATCGATGTTTCTAACTCTCTATCCTTCTCTCTTCCTCTCTATAAAATTCAATAAAATATATTTTTTAGAAGGCGTATAGAATATGAAGGTGGGCACTGAAGGCCTCTTTTCTTTTATATCTGATAAAAAGTAAAATATGAAATATTTTCCTCTCATAGACTAATTCTCCTTCACTTCTCTTTGGTTCTTTGGCTATTCTCATGGACACTTCCATGTGGAAGTGAGCACTTAATAAGCACCATTTCTTAAAGTATAAAAATATCATCTTAGGGATCCCTTCCTTCTTTCAGGCCACAGTGGAGTCTCAATTCCCTGAACAAAGGGTAATTCCATTACTATATAAGATTTCTTCATATAGGTATTATAAATTAAAGTAGACTATAAAACCCACCTTGTTCAAACTCCTTAATATATAACATGCCATTTATCTCCCCACAGGTCACTGGAAATATTTCAGGTTGAAAATTCACACTTTCTTCTTTGTGCTCTCTTGTCCCTGAAAAAGAATATTCTTCAGTCTATATCATTTTACAATTATACATGTACAACTTCCTCCTGAGTTGGGTTTGTTTCTATAAAGACATAGAAGTACTACTTAGAAAACTTTATTCCACAGATCTCCAGAGTTTCAAAGTCTTTCTTTCAGTGGCATTTTTGATACATAACCAGAGATTTTACTTCTCAAATCTCACACCAAACAGAATGCTTTACCAGAGATACCAGGCATCAATAAAATTGTCTTAATTCCCACCTTGGCCAGTGTCCTTCAATGGTAGAACATTGGCCTGTACACTAAAAGGTCTCAGGTTTGATTCCTGGTCAAAGGCACATACCTGGGTTGCAGGTTCATCCAGGCCCCAGTTGGACTCACGGGAGGCAACAAATTGATGTATCTCTCTAACATCAATATTTCTATCTCTCTGCCTCCCCCTCTCTCCTTTCCACTCTCTCTAAAAATCAATGGGAAAAATATCTTTGTGTAAGGATTGACAACACCAACAACAAAAAATTGTCTTAACTCCCAATCCAGTCAGCCCCCTTGATTCTTACATGACAATGAAACACAGAGGTGCTGTCGTGTTCTGCAGGAAGCTCTCCAGCTATGCTAGTCCACTGCAGTTAGGTAGCTGGAGACAAAGTCAAACACTGTGCATGCAGCTCCTGTTTGAGCTCTGACTCAGTGGCAGAGAGGATAATGATGGGGTAACCCAATTGAGATGGGGTCTGCCTTATATATGTGTTCTGTGGCTTTACCTGATTTCTTCTCCAAATCAGCTTTCTCCAGAGCTGAAAGTGGAGCTCAGGTAACTTTAGGGCAATCTTCAAATTGCATGGCTAGCTGGACTATTACTGTCTGACAATGGTGTGCCCTTTGTCAAAAGCTATATCCAATGCTCTGATTGTCTAACTCTATGACCTCATCTCCTCCTGTCCATACACTTCTCTGTAATGACTCTTTTCAAACTTCTTTAGGAAAAAAATATACAATTAAAAACCTAAAAATTAACATTAAGACAAAATATTAACAGTACACCTTTGCAAAATTCAACATGTAATATATTAACACTAGAGGTCTGGTACATGAAAATTCATGCACCAGAGCCTGGCCTTCCCCTTCTCACAGTCCTGGAGCCCTCAGAGGTGATCTGGTAATCAGGGGAATGCAATCCCCCTTCAAACCTTTGCTGCTACCACTGCAGGCAGCAGAAGCTTCAGCCAGCCCTGATTACCTGAGCCTTGGGCAGCCCTGGGCGGCTGAGCAGCCACCATCTGAGGCTTTCCTGCACCTCGGGCTGGCCCTTGGCAGCTGGGCAGCCAACATCCAAAGCTTGCCTGCACCTCATCCCGGCCCAGGGCAGCTTGGGGGCTGAGGCAACTGGGGACTCCAGAGGTAGGTATGCCCCAGCGGGGCTGAAGGGATTGAGTACTGCCAACTTGTGGGTGCTGCTATCTTTGAGGGCAGGAAAATCAATTAGTATATTGCCTCCTTATTACCATAGCTATAAGTGCTGCCATCTTTAGGGTGGGGAAGTCAATTAGCATAATCCTTCCTACTGAATGTGGGCACTACCATCTTTGTGATGGTGTGAGGGTAAACTAGCATATTCCCTCTTTATTAGATAGGATACCTATTCTTGGACAGCATGGGAAAAAAATGACCAACATAGTAGCAACACTGGTAAGACAGATACCAGGCATTTGTAGAAGAGCAACAAATTACCAATAACCAGTGAAAAGTGCTCAACTACACTAAAAAATTATAGTAATGCAAATTAAAACAGGAATGAAATAAAAGTATCTACTGTTAAATTGGCAAAATGTGTGCTTAATATACGGATTAAAATAAGGGAAATGTAACACTATAAATAGATTAACTCAGATAAGTAATATAATTCTAAATATGTTAATACTTGGGCAGAAAAAATCTGAGAAGATATCCAAAAAAATTCATAGATTTCAAAATTAAAAAGCAACAAGGATGTGAGCATTTAAAAACATATAAATTGCTGGTTCGAAATATGTAAAATAATCATTTAGAGGTAAAATATCCTCTCTTTTTTTTTAATCTTATGAAAGGTGGTAGTTCTCTCATGTGGCTGTAATAAATTCCCCAAAACTTAGTCTAAAGCAACACAGGTTTTTATCTCATAATCCTAAAGGTCTGACTAAAATTTCACTGGCATAAAATCAAGGTGCCCACAGGGCTTTGTTCTTTTCTGGAGGCTATAGTAAGAAAAAAAATATTTTTGTTTTGTTTGTTTTTTTGTTTTACCTTTTCCAGCTCTAAGTACTGCACACATTTCTTGACTCATTGCCTTCTTCTTTCATCTTCAAACACAGCTACATTACACCTCTAATTATTATTCCTTAGATACAAATCCCTCTCTGCACAGCAGGAGAGTTTTTCTAATTTTAAGCATCTACATGATTTGACTGGGGCCACTCAGATTAACCAGATAATCGCCCCATTTCATTAACTTAATCACATTTTCAAACTCTCTTTCACCATGTAAAGAGACAGATTAGAGGCTCCAAGGACTAGACATGGACATCTCTGTTTCTGTTGGTATAAAATTCTCAAGAACCTTATAGGTCTCCCATGTATGTCATGGGGATTTGCTCAATCCCCATGTGTTTCCACAAGAGGCTCCTCCACAGATGTTTCCAATATAATCACATATCTATATTTTAGTTTAGTTGAGATGGCTGAGATCTATGAGTTACATGCTTAGTCTCATCAAAGAACCTTTCTGTGACTAAATATTCTGATCTTTCACTGCTTCTGAGGCTCTAGTAAAAAGTTGTTCAATCACACTCTCAGCCATTCTACAGAGCACTCTTAACCTGACAGAGAATCTCAATTTTAACATCTTTTGTAATCTTTGTAAGCTAAGAAAATCCAAATCATCAAATCCTGATTTCTTTTTGTTGAGCAGTTCTCCTCCCCTTGGTTTATTTTATTCTTCTCACATTTTACTTTAAGCAGCAAAAAAGAAACCAGCTTCATCTTCATCATCTAGAAACCTCCTTAGTGTATATCCAGAAAGTTCTGCTTTCCATATATCTGCAAGACAGGATTTTGCTCCACTTTCTATCACTATATAATAAGACTCCTCTTCCTCATGTTTCCAAAAACACATTCTTTATTACCTCCTGCATCCTCACACCTTTAACCATGTTTGTACATACTTGTGTTGTTCAGGATAACTTATGAATTCTCTGAGGCAACATCGATGTTCTCCTCCATGTCTTTCTTCCTTCGGAGTCCTCCCTGGGTCTTCAGCATCCACATTTCTACAAACTGCTCAAGGCAATCTAGGCTTTTTTCTTCTTCTTCTAATCATTCTACTTAAACTTCTTCTAGCCTCTAACCACTGCCCAAAGCCATTGCCACATTTTTAGAAATGTTTTATAGCCACAACCCACTTTTAAGAACCAAAGTCTGTATTATTTTAATATTGCTGCCATAACAATTTACTATAAATAGTGGGCTTAAAACAATACAAATTCATTACCTTACAATTCATGTGCATTAGAATTATAACATGGCCTCACTGGGCTAAAATCCAGTTTGTAACAGACTTTCATTCCTTTCTGGAGGCTGTAGGGGACAAACTGTTTCCTTGATTTTTCTGCTTCTTAAGGTCACCCACATATCCTATTCTCTTCTTCCATCTTCAGAGCCAGAATATAGGACCTCTCTGACCATTCTTCCATATCACTATCCCTCTCTCCAGAGCCAAGAAAGGTTCTCCACATTGTAAGGATTAGGGTAGTATATTGGGGCCACCCAGAGAATCCAGGATAATCTCTCTCATTTTAAGGTTCCTAGTTAAATTAAATTTGTAAAGTCTACTTGCCATGTAAGATAACAGGTTCCAGGGATTGGGGCATGCACACCTTTGAGAAGCCATCATTCTACCTACCGCAGTATTAGAAATAATAATGATGATGAAACTCTGGTATTTAAAAACTCATTTCTACACCAAAAGCAAGCAAAATCTATTCACTCTTACTTTTTTTACTCTCAGATTTTTCTAAAGTAGATTTGTTTCCAAGATGCACCGTACCTAAAAAAAAGAAAAGAAGAAAGAAAAGATGGTAGTGAGAAAATAAAAATAAATAAATAGAAGTTGCACATCTTAGCATAATTTATAGTGCAGAAACCTTATGTTATAAGGGTGTTTAATTTATTGATTCTCTCTTTCTTCTAAAGAAACTAAAAATTAATTTGAGGATTCTAGGATTGGCCATGAGACTTCCTTTATTTCTTAATAGGACTTTGAACACCTTGAATACCTTAGTACTTTGTTTTATGTAGGAATAGGAACAGGTATCCTATCCTGTCTAGGTCTTCACTTTTTATTAGATATCAGAGTCCCTTCATCTGGGCCCTCAAAGAATAGTGTAACTAGTTTATCATTTTATTTGCATAAATATGCACTTGCATTGCTCTTGTGCCATTGACCTTTTATACCATTTAGTTCAACCCACCAATGCAGAATGTTTAATGAATATCATCTAAAATCACAACATATTTTTTAAAATATATATTTTATTGATTTTTGTACAGAGAGGAAGGGAGAGAGATAGAGAGTTAGAAACATCAATGAGAGAGAGTCATTGATCAGCTGCCTCTTGCACACCCCCTACTGGGGATATGCCAGCAACCAAGGTACATGCCCTTAACCGGAATCGAACCCGGGGCCCTTCACTCCCCAAGCCGACTCTCTATCCATTGAGCCAAACCGGTCCCGGCACAACATATTTTTTTTTTTTAAGAAAAAATAAAAATATTTGAACAAAGCTTGTGTAGCAAAGAAAGCTATTTGTTACATTTGCTCTTGGGTCTTTTCAGGTTGCTGCCCCTAAATGGACTTGTTTTCAATGTTCACAGGATTTGGAAGTAAAGGAAAACAAAGACTTAGCCAAAAGAGTTGCGAATTTTATACAGTTATCTGGCCTAACATTTTGGTTGTTGTAAGCATAAATAGATATCTTATTTGCAAAGACATTTAAATTTCATATAATAAAACCCTAATATGCAAATTGACCAAACTTTGAAACAACTGGTAGAATATGGGGCTCACAGCTGGTGAGCACAGAGGCGGTGGTGGGAGCCTGTCCTGCCTTCAGCAGTGCTAAGAAGCAGCAAGCTGAGCTGTAAGTAGCAGTGAGCAGATGGGTGGTAAGGCATGAGGGTCCCAGACTATGAGAGGGAAGTCCGCCTGCCTGCTTAGGCTCTTGGACTTGAGAGGATGCAGGCCAGGCTGAGGGTCCTCCCACCCCACTCAATGCATGAGTTTTATGCACTGGGCATCTAGTATCACCATTATGTCATGCTGGGGATCATCATTAAATGCTATAAATAGATTTGATAGTAATAGCCAGAAGCTTTTTCTTCTATCAATAATTAATTTTGAACATGTTTGTGAAAAATTTAACCAATAGCTGACTCTCTCACTTTCTCTACTCTATACAGAATAGATGGTGAGTAGGTGGACATCACTATGTAATCCACCACATTGGGAGATTTTATGTCTAATAATAGGAGTGATACACACTGCCATTCAACTAGAGCCGTTATAAGTGTCAATTTTTAGTGATTTCTTTCTATGTAGTTTTATTTATTTTATTGAGTTTATTGATGTGGCATTGGTTAATGAAATTACACAGATCTCAGGTACACAATGCTACATCATCTGTTTACTGAATTGTGTGTTCACCACCCCAAGTCAAGTCTCCTTCCATCACCATTCTCTCCCGCTTTACCCTCTTGTACCTCCCCTATTCCATCCTCCTGCTGTTAATCATCATACTGCTATCTGTGTCTGTATATGAGGATTTGTTCCCTTTTGCTTAATTTCCTTACCCTTATCACCCAGTCCCTGAACCCCAACTCACATCTGACAGCTATCACTCTGTTCTCTGAATCTGAAGGTCAATTCCTATTTTGTTTGTTAGTTTACTTTATTCTATAAGGTATTTAGGGATCAAGGGTGTTAAAAGAGGGAAAGAGAGGAACATATGCAATACTTTGAACAATAAAATATCTTTTTAAATGGCATGAGATCAAGGCAATAATAGGCTCAAAGGCCTTGGTGTGTGTTCAGAGAAACAGGAGCTCTGAGCCCAGACTCCTAGTGTCTTAAAGCCCAGCAATGGAAGCCCTTACCCTTCTCATCAGGACCAATTCTCAATGCAGAGCTACAGGCTCCCAGGAGATTATCACGTGCACTGAATCCTGAAGAACCTTGAAGACTTCTCACTGCAGAGCTACAGGGTCCTGAAGACTTCTTCAGTGCACCAAATCCTGAAGACACCTCAGAACTTCTCATTGCCAAGATACAGGCTCCAGGAAGCGTTTTCTGTGCACTGAACCCTGAAGACACTTCAGAAACTCTCACTGCAGAGCTAGAGGCTCCTGGAAGCTGATTCTGTGCACTGTATCCTGAAGACACTTCAGAAACTCTCACTGCAGAGCTACAGGCTCCTGGAAGCTGATTCTGTGCACTGATCCCTGAAGACACTTTAGGGTTTCTCACTGCAGAACCACAGGGTCCTTGGGGCTGATTCTGTGCACTGAATCCTGAAGACACTTCAGGGTTTCTCACTGCAGAGCTACAGGCACCTGAGGGCTGATTCTGTGCACTGATCCCTGAGGACACTTCAGGGTTTCTCACTGCAGAGCTACAGGCACCTGAGGGCTGATTCTGTGCACTGATCCCTGAGGACACTTCCAAAACTCTCACTGCAGAACTACAGGCTCTTGGGGGCTGATTCTGTGCACTGAATCCTGAAGACACTTCAGAAACTCTCACTGCAGAGCTACAGGCACCTGAGGGCTGATTCTGTGCACTGATCCCTGCGGACACTTCCAAAACTCTCACTGCAGAACTACAGGCTCTTGGGGGCTGATTCTGTGCACTGAATCCTGAAGACACTTCAGAAACTCTCACTGCAGGGCTACAGGCACCTGAGGGCTGATTCTGTGCACTGATCCTTGAGGACACTTCCAAAACTCTCACTGCAGAACTACAGGCTCTTGGGGGCTGATTCTGTGCACTGAATCCTGAAGACACTTCAGAAACTCTCACTGCAGAGCTACAGGCACCTGAGAGCTTCTTCTGTGCACTGATCCCTGAAGACACTTTAGGGTTTCTCACTGCAGAACCACAGGGTCCTTGGGGCTGATTCTGTGCACTGAATCCTGAAGACACTTCAGGGTTTCTCACTGCAGAACTACAGGCACCTGAGGGCTGATTCTGTGCACTGATCCCTGAGGACACTTCAGGGTTTCTCACTGCAGAGCTACAGGCACCTGAGGGCTGATTCTGTGCACTGATCCCTGAGGACACTTCCAAAACTCTCACTGCAGAACTACAGGCTCTTGGGGGCTGATTCTGTGCACTGAATCCTGAAGACACTTCAGAAACTCTCACTGCAGAGCTACAGGCACCTGAGGGCTGATTCTGTGCACTGATCCCTGAGGACACTTCAGGGTTTCTCACTGCAGAGCTACAGGCACCTGAGGGCTGATTCTGTGCACTGATCCTTGAGGACACTTCCAAAACTCTCACTGCAGAACTACAGGCTCTTGGGGGCTGATTCTGTGCACTGAATCCTGAAGACACTTCAGAAACTCTCACTGCTGAGCTACAGGCACCTGAGAGTTTCTTCTGTGCACTGATCCCTGAAGACACTTTAGGGTTTCTCACTGCAGAACTACAGGGTCCTTGGGGCTGAATCTGTGCACTGAATTCTGAAGACTCTTCAGGGTTTCTCACTGCAGAGCTACAGGCACCTGAGGGCTGATTCTGTGCACTGATCCCTGAGGACACTTCAGGGTTTCTCACTGCAGAGCTACAGGCACCTGAGGGCTGATTCTGTGCACTGATCCCTGCGGACACTTCCAAAACTCTCACTGCAGAACTACAGGCTCTTGGGGGCTGATTCTGTGCACTGAATCCTGAAGACACTTCAGAAACTCTCACTGCAGAGCTACAGGCACCTGAGGGCTGATTCTGTGCACTGATCCCTGAGGACACTTCCAAAACTCTCACTGCAGAACTACAGGCTCTTGGGGGCTGATTCTGTGCACTGAATCCTGAAGACACTTCAGAAACTCTCACTGCAGAGCTACAGGCACCTGAGGGCTGATTCTGTGCACTGATCCTTGAGGACACTTCCAAAACTCTCACTGCAGAACTACAGGCTCTTGGGGGCTGATTCTGTGCACTGAATCCTGAAGACACTTCAGAAACTCTCACTGCAGAGCTACAGGCACCTGAGAGCTTCTTCTGTGCACTGATCCCTGAAGACACTTTAGGGTTTCTCACTGCAGAACTACAGGGTCCTTGGGGCTGAATCTGTGCACTGAATTCTGAAGACTCTTCAGGGTTTCTCACTGCAGAGCTAGAGGCTCTTGGGGGCTGATTCTGTGCACTGAATCCTGAAGACACTTCAGGGTTTCTCACTGTAGAGCAAGAGGATCTTGGGGGCTGATTCTGTGCACTGAAGCCTGAAGACAATTCAGAAACTCTCACTGCAGAGCTACAGGCACCTGAGGGCTGATTCTGTGCACTGATCCCTGGAGGCACTTTAGGGTTTCTCACTGCAGAACTACAGGGTCCTTGGGGCTGAATCTGTGCACTGAATTCTGAAGACTCTTCAGGGTTTCTCACTGCAGAGCTACAGGCACCTGAGGGCTGATTCTGTGCACTGATCCCTGGAGACACTTCAGAAACTTTCACTGCAGAACTATAGGCTCCTGAGGGCTGATTCTGTGCACTGAATCCTGAAGACACTTCAGGGTTTCTCACTGCAGAGCTGCAGGCTCCTGGGGGCTGATTCAGTGCACTGAATCCTGAAGACACTTCAGGGTTTCTCACTGCAGAGCTACAGGTTCCTGGGGGCTGATTCTGTGCACTGAATCCTGATGACACTTTAGGGTTTCTCACTGCAGAACTACATGGTCCTTTGGGCTGATTCTGTGCACTGAATTCTGAAGACATTTCAGGGTTTCTCACTGCAGAGCTAGAGGCTCCTGGGGACTGATTCTGTACACTGATCCCTGAGGACACTTTAGGGTGTCTCACTGCAGAGCTACTGGGTCCTTGGGGCTTCTTCTGTGCACTGATCCCTGAGGACACTTTAGGGTTTCTCACTGCAGAGCTATAGGCTTTGGGGGACTGATTCTGTGCACTGATCCCTGAAAACACTTCAGAAACTCTCACTGCAGAGTTAGAGGCTCCTGGAGGCTGATTCTGTACACTGATCCCTGAGGACACTTTAGGGTGTCTCACTGCAGAGCTACTGGGTCCTTGGGGCTTCTTCTGTGTACTGATCCCTGAGGACACTTTAGGGTTTCTCACTGCAGAGCTACGGGGTCCTCGCGGCTGATTCTGTGCACTGATCAATGGGTTTCTCACTGAAGAGCTATAGGCTCCTGGGAGCTGATTCAGTGCACTGAATCCTGAAGACACTTCAGTGTTTCTCATTGTAGAGCTACAGGGTCCTAGGGGCTTTTCCTGGGCACCACATCCTGGAGGCACTTCAAGAAATTTCACTGCAGCGACACATATTACTCGAGGCTTCTTCACTGCACAGAGTCCTGAAGACTCTTCAATACTTCTCCCTGCAGAAGGAATAAATGTTTCTTAAAGATTTCAGTGAATGACATAATAACAGAAACAATAAAAAGTGTGCGAAGCCCTAAAATCTCATGTGTGGAATATTAAGTTCTCAGACCTACATGATCTGCCTTTTTTGAACTCTCATGACCTATAGGTCAATATTTTATCCCTCACTGTCTGCTAAGATATTTCACTTTCAGTGGGATTCTCTGATTTCTTTATTTTAAAAAATATATTTTCTTATTGACTTTAGAGAGAGTGTGTATGGGAGAGGGAGAGAAACATCTATGAGAGCTGCCTCCTAAACACAATTTTATTGTGCAGCCCTTGGCAAATGCCCTGATGGGAAATCAAACCAGAGACTTCTGTGTGCATGGGAGGCTGCCAAGCCAACTGAGCCACAAAAGCAGAGTATCTCTCTGTATGTTTTTTGGCCCTCCGTATTATGCACTACGCTCTCCTTCTTCTTTTACAGGTAGCTTATGGATTTGTGTTCATGTCTGTCATTATATTATATTTTAGTTCTGCTTCTTTCCCAAGGTAGTCTTAGAAATCTGAAGACTACCTTGAAGAAGGCAGATCTCTCATTTGTATGCTTGACAGAATGACTGTGAAATAGATACCTTTCCACGTTTTAAAACACTTTGGAATCTTTGCTTGAGAAAATAATTTGAAATTGTATTGTGTTTGAGTGATTGACCTTTTAGGTGTATTTGTCATAGCCATCAGCCTTACTAACACAAAAGTTAAAATACAAACTATCTTACATTAAAGCAAACTTGTATTTACTATAAAAGAAGTAGCAAAAAATTAAAATAAATCTTCAGATTAAAAAAGACATGCTCATTTATAACCATGAAATATTCTTATTCGCTTGCTCTTACCTGTTTTGCAAACTATTTTTCCAGATGTAGGTGATTTTCTGAAATCGATTGATTCTATAAAGTAAAAGAGAGAGAACAGTTTTTGTTTGCAGTGGTCTTACAGAGTTTGTGACAACTGTCAGAGCAGATAGGGTTTGTGAAAACTCAATGTTGAGATGATCATATTTCTCTTTCTCGCACTTGAACCCAGTTCTGGTGCTCCCCTGAACCCCACAATGCTGGGCTCCTGCCTGGTGCTCCCATTTACTTTCCATGTAAATTGTAAATGACTCTCAAACATTAACATCTCCTACACTATAAAGATGGCATAATCTACTTACCTTATCTCCCCGTTAAGGTTTTTGTGAAAAGAAGTGAAATTTAATTCACAAAAGTAGTGAAAATCAAAATGTAAGTCAATCATTTAAGTATCATTTCAATTAGAAAGTAGTTGGTCTAAACCATTTATCGTATTAATAATTAATATTAGCACAAAATATACTTTTAAAACATTCTAAGGTTTCTATTAATGGCACAATAGTCAAGAGTTAGCAAAATATTGTACTCTGCTTTATAGAATATAAACTCTTTACCATTAACATATGATAGTGTGTAGTAAAAAAGAATATTATTTACTAGTATATTATTGCTAAATTTTCAATGTATCAATTGATTAAACTCATCCAGTCAAACAACCATTTAGAATGATCCTTGCCCCCTCCTGTTTAGCAATAGGATTGAAAAAGCTAAATGGTTAAAATGGTATCCCAAAAGTAATGAATCAATGAATACAGAGAACTTCAGAATGAGATTCATCATGAAAACAGGGCCCTGTGCTCTGTAGACTCTGGATATTTGTCCAGAAATACAATCTTATCTGATACAATTTAGAGTCATGAACAGGTGGCTTCTTGGGACTCTCTTCCTTTATTTGATTTTAAGGAATGTAGTTTATTGATCACTGGACAAGCAGTAGGATTCTTAGATGTCTCAGTGTGTGCCCAGGGAATTTATGTAGCATGGAATTCCCTAATACAACTTGAAAAATCTAGAAAATCCATATATACTATGGCCTGCAAACGGGACACCTGGTCTGTCCCTTTAAGTCACCTGCCTTGTAGGTTAGTGATGCTCCATTCTCTGTCCCCATAGCAGAGACAAGTCCATGGCAAAGAGCACAAGTGCTCTGTTTGACCCTTACCTTCCTACACTTCTCTCTGTTCTACCTCTAACCCTTCAATTGCCATTTCACACTTCCTTCATGTGCTGATTCTTTGTAGGGAGATCTTGGAAATATTGTGTTAAGGAGCATTTTGGTAGGAAGCCCCTTCTACCCCCTCGGGCCCTTGAAAGAAGCTCTTGTGTCTGAGCCATAGCCCTATTTTGGAACCACTTTTCAGAGCACTTTGCCTACACTAAGCCACAGTCACAATGTGCACTCTATAAACTGAAAAAAACTTAGTTTTACATTGATATATATATAGAGAACTATTAGAATAAAAGTATTATTTACAATATTATCTTATAACATCAAGACTAGGTCACATCTTTATTTATGTTTAGCTTTTTTCCTAGTGGGTTTACCTCAAAAGACATGTTTCTAATGCCTCTGGGAAAGTGGGAAGGAAAACCCAATCTCCACTTTGTACATTAAAGTGCTACAGATCTGATGACCACTCATGCTATACACAGGACTGAAGAAACAACATTTTGTTAACTGTTTTGAGATGCAGATTTACAAAGGAAATAACAGGAAATTCAGGATGCTAGTCCTGTCCTTCCCTTTATCTCCATGTAACTTTGAGGAAGATTTGAAATATTTGTGTGATTTTATTTTTTCATCTAGAAACAAGAGTAATAATGGCCATCTTTCTCACTCCCCAGGGTTGTTGTAAAGCAAAAGGTAAGACACAATTTGCAAAGATCCTTTGTAAAGACATTCTATATGTCATGACTTGCTGGAAAACTCTCTAGAAAACAACATTTGAGGTTTCAAAACACCTTATTCATTTCTGCTAACACAGGAGAGCTGGAGGAATTGACCCTCAACACTATTCAAACTTTGTGATTAGATGACAATATGACCTTCCAATAAAGAAATATTTAGCTTTCTCTTCTCTGTAGAAATCCCTGTATACACCCAACTCTTTATAGCCACAGAATTAGTTTTAATATAAATTCACTACTTTGCTAGCCTATTACTACCATATAACTAATATATGGGAGCATTGGTTGATTTATAGGACCTATGAATTAATAGGCCATATAATTTAAATATATAAATATAATGATTTATTACAGTGCACATTCCAAATGTCAGGTAAAATAAATACAGAGAATGCGATTCCAGGACAAACTGAGTCTGTGGTATAGGATGAACTGAGAATTGATGCCTCAGGAAACAGTGCCTCTTCATTGAGATTCCTGCACCCCAAGCCTTGAGCTCCCACCTCTTTACCTGGTTCCCTTTTCAATGCTGTGGTGGAAGCTTCAGCGGGTCCATCTCCACTAGTAAATTCTTCAAAGTCCTGACTGTTAATCACTGCACAAAGAAGAAAAAAGCACACATTGTCTTGGGGTGAAGCCACGGAGTGGAAATCTCTTCATGGGAGCAGTAGGAAGACATAGAAGTTAAGTTAACTCAGGTCCCTCTGGTCTGTGACCAAAGTGTGTGACCTTCAGGTTGTTCCAGGCCCTATCCGGGGATCATGACATTCACGGACAGAGTGCAGCTTTGCCTAACCTGAAGCACAATTCTTACATCCAACCTCACTACACCTGCTATCCCCATGCCCATTGTATTTCAACTCCCATCAACACTCTATCTCTTACCTCCACTCTCTAATATCTCCATCCTCATTCTATCTCTTTCTTTCTTTGATTCATTCCAAACATATCTAAATATTTATTAAGCTAGAAAGATGGATCAAAGAGAAGTATACCTACATAAAGCTATCTTTTAAAAATGGCATCAAATTACATACTGTTAATTTTTAATGTATTTATTATTTTTATATTTTACTCAATGTATTGCAATGTCATTGCTTCACAGAACTGTACAGGATTCAAGTGTACAACTGAAAAAGACATTTTTTGCCCACTGCACCAATCGCCCATCATCCCAAATAAAGTCTCTTGGTTCTGCTCATTTTTGGCAATTATGTTGGTTTCTGGCAAAAGTGTTTCTTTATACCTCTCCTTCTCTTCGTGTGTGTGCTTTTCTCATCTCCTTTCATGAATATCTTCATTTTCTGAAAAATTTCCCTACTCCAATATCTTCCTATCTTTGAATATAGAAACATACACTCTGATATCAACACTTAAATTTACCATTTCTGCTTTTGATATTTTTTCCAATTACTGGGGACGTGTTTCTGTTGACCTCCTGCATAAGGCCCTTGTTCCCTCCACTCTCTACCTGTAACCAAGGCCACCATTACTGTCTCATGGGCCCTGATGACATGTCTCAGATCCTTGTCTGGTCCAGGGATGCACCTCACCCATTCTTCCAGTCAGCCTTACCTATTATGTCAGATGCCTGGTTACAGTCAGTCCTTGCTTGGAATTCACATTCAACTCCTGAATTTAAAAATGGCTTTTCCTCCTTTATATCCACTGGGTCTACAGAGCAGGAATTGGTTTGGGCTCCATGGTGGAGTATCTCTGCTCCTGGAAGAAATGTAATAAATGAAGAATTTTATTTGCTTCCCCTAAGGGAGTGAGCACCCTCACGGCAATCAAGAAGCCCTTCTCCCTGTAGTTCCACTGCAGGGGAAAACTCCCTTATCTGCTACTCAACCCTGTCCTTTCTCTATGCCTCTATTAAAAACAACAGCAACATATTTGTATTGATTGATTGAGAGAGAGAGAGTGAATAGAGTTATATAAATTTCAATGAGAGAGGAACATCATGGATCAGCTGCCTCCTGCACATACTTCTACAAGGCATGGAGCCCACAACCCTGGCCTATGCCCTGATGGGGAATCAAACCAGGGACCTCAGGATACATGTGAGGATGCTCAGCCAACTTAGCTACTCTGGTTGCTTTCTCTGTTTTTTTGTGTGTTTTTGTTGTTGTTGTTTGTTGTTGTTGTTTACCTGTATTATTCAGAACATTCAGTTTCTTCTTTTAAATGTAGCTTATGGATTTGTGTTTATGTCTGTAATTATATTATACTAGAGGACTGGTGCACAAAAGTCGTGCATAGGGGTGTGTGTCACTCAGCCCAGCCTGCACCCTCTCCAATCTGGGACCCTTCGAGGGATGTCCAACTCCCCTTTTAGGCTCGATCCCAGTAGGATCAGGCCTAAATGGACAGTAGGACATCCCTCTCATAGACTGCTGGCTCGAAACTGCTTGCCTGCTTGCCTTTATGATTGCCCCTAACCACTTCTATCTTCTAACCTGATACCCCCTAACCATTCCCCTGACAGCCTGATTGATTCCTAACTGCTCCTCTGCCATCCTGTTTGCCCTTCCCTACAGGTCGGTTCACTATTAACTGCCCTCCCTTGGTGTCACCCCTAACTGCCCTCTCCTGCAAGCTTGGTCATCCCTAACTGCCCTCCCCTGCAGGCCTGATCACCCACATCTGCCTTCCCTTACAGACCTGGTCACTCCCAACTGCCATCTCCTGCATGGCAGCCATCTTGTGTCCACAAGGGGGAAGCCATCTTTGACCACATGGGAGCAGCCTTGTGTTGGATGATCAATTTGCATATTACTCTTATTAGATAGGATTTTAGCTCCATTTCTTTCCCAAGGTGGTCTTAGAAATGTGACATTGAAGAACACAGATCTCTCATTTGTATGATTCCCAGAATGACTTTGTGAAATACATTTCCTCTCTCTTCCCCTTCTCTCCAACCTTTCTAAAACTGTTTGGAAAGTTTACTTGATAAAAATATTAAAATTGTATTGTGTTTGAGTGATTGGCTTCTTTAGGTTTATTTCTTGCAGCCATTACCCTAACTAAAACAAAAGTGAAAATATGAACTATATTATATTTAAACAAACTTGTATTTTACTATAAGCGAAGTAGCAAAAATTAGAATGAATCTTTTGTAGGAAACACTGTTCATTTGTCACCATGAACAGTTCTTATTTGCTTGTTCTTACCTGTTTTGCAAAGTATTTTTCCAGATGTAGGTGATTTTTTGAAATCCATGGACTCTATAAAATAAAAGAGAAAACAGTACTTGCTTGCAGTGGTCTTACAGAGTCTGAGACAATTCACCCAGCAGATAGGGTTTGTGACAATGTCAGTGTTGAGATGATTATATTCCCCTTTCTCTTACTTGAACCCAGTTCTGGTGCTCCCCCAAGCACCATGATGCTGGGCTCAGGCCTGGCGCTCTCATTTACTTTCCTTGTGAATTTGTAAATGATCCTCAAGAATTATCATCTCCTACACTACAATGATGGTATAACCTACTTATCCTATCTCCCTGTTAAGGTTTTTGTAAAAAGAAGTGAAATTTAATTAAAAAAATAATGTGAAAAATAAAAATGTATCTTTAAGTCTCATTAGAGTTTTAAAGTAGTTGGTCTAATCCATTTTACCACTAATAATTAATGTTAGCACAAAATATACTTCAAAATATTCTAATGTTTTTATTAATGACACAATTGTCAACAGTTAGTGAAATATTATGCTTACTCTGCTTTATAGAATATAAACTCTTTACCATTAATATATGGTAATGTACAATGAAAAAAAAACACTATTTTTACATTTATTGCTAAATGTTTAATATATCAATTGATTTTGCTCAGCTAGTCAAACAGCCATTTAGAATGATCCTTGCCTCCTCCTATTTAGCAATAGGATTCATAAAGCTAAAGGCATAAAATGGTATCCCAGAAGTAATGAATCAATGAATAAAGAGAACTTCAGAATTAGAGTCATCATGAAAACAGAGCTCCGGATTTAGACTCTGGATATTGGTCCAGAAATACAATCTTGTCTGATACAATTTAGAATCATGAACAGGTAGTTTCTTGGGACTCTATTCCTTTATTTCATTCTAAAGAATCTAGTTTATTGATCACTGCACAAGCAGTAAGATTCTTAGATGTCTCAGTGAGTGCCCATGGAATTGATGTAGCATGGAATTCCCTAATACAACTTGAAAATTTTGAAAATCCATGTATACCATGGCCTGCAAACAGGACACCTGGTTGGTCCCTTTAAGTCACCTGCCCTGTAAGTTAGTGATGCTCCATTCTCTGTCCCCATAGCAGAGACAAGTCAATGGCAAAGAGCACAAGGGCTCTGTTTGAACCTAACCATCCTACACTTCTCTCTATTCTACCTCTTACCCTTCAGTTCCCATTTCACACTTCCTTCATCTGCTGTTTTTTGTGGGGAGACCTCGGAAATCTCGTGCTGAGAAACTTGTTGGTAGGGAGCCTCTTCTACCCACTGGTGCATCTTGAAATAATCTCTTGTGTCTGAGCCATAGCCCTATTTGGGGATCACTTTGCAGATCACTTTGCCTACACTAAGCCACGGTCACAATGTGCACTCTATAAACTGAAGGAAACTTACATTTTACATTGATGGATATTTAGAACTATTAGGATAAAAGTATTATTTACAATATTGTCTTATTGTAACATTAAGGCTAGGTAACATCTTTATTTATAGCTCTTTTCCTAACGAGTTTACCTCAAAAGACATGTTTCTAATGCCTCTGGGAAAGTAGGAAGGAAAACTCAATCTCCACTTTGTACACTAAAGTGCTACAGATCTGATGACCACTCATGCTATACACAGGATTGAGAAAACAACATTTTGATAACTGTTTTGAGCTCCAGATTTACAAAGGAAATAACACAGAATCCAGGAAGCTACTATTGTCCTTCCCTTTATCTCCATTTGACTTTGAGGAAGATTTGAAATATTTGTGTGATTTTATTTTCTCATCTCAAAACAAGAGATGAGAAACAATGACCATCTTTCTCACTTCCCAGGGTTGTTGTAAAGCAAAAGGTAAGACACAATTTGCAAAGATCGCCAGGACTGGTTTGGCTCAATGGATAGAGCGTCGGCTTGGGGACTGAAAGGTCCCGGGTTCAATTCCAGTCAAGGGCATGTGCCTTGGTTGCGGGCATATCCCCAGTGGGGGGCGTGCAAGAGGCAGCTGATCGATGACTCTCTATCTCTCTCCCTTCTTCTCTGTACAAAATCAATAAAATATATTAAAAAACAAACAAACAAAAAAAAACAATTTGCAAAGATCCTTTGTAAAGTCATTCTAAATATAATGATTTATTACAGTGCACATCCCAAAGATCAGGTAAAATAAACATAGAGAATGGGATTCCAGGATAAACTGAGTCAGTGGTATAGGATGAACTGAGAATTGATGCCTCAGGAAACAGTGCCTCTTCATTGAGATTCCTACACCCCAAGCCTTGAGCTCCCACCTCTTTACCTGGTTCCCTTTTCAATGCTGTGGTGGAAGCTTCAGGGGGTTCATCTCCACTGGTCAATTCTTCAAAGTCCTGACTGTCAATCACTGCACAAAGAAGATAAAAGCACACATTGTCTTGGAGTGAAGCCATGGAGACCACTGAGTGGAAATCCCTTCATGGGAGTAGTTGGAAGATATACAATAGCAGCTAAGTTACTCAGGTACCTCTGGTCTGTGACCAAAGTGTGTGACCTTCAGGTTGTTCCAGGCCCTATCCGGGGATCATGACGTTCACGGACAGAGTGCAGCTTTGCCTAACCTGAAGCACAATTCTTACACCCAACCTCACTACACCTGCAATCCCCATGCCCATTGTATTTCAACTCCCATCGACACTCTAGCTCTTACCTCCACTATCTAATATCTCCACCCTCATTCTATTTCTTTTTTTCTTTGATTCATTCCAAACATATCTAAATATTTATTAAGCTAGAAAGATGGATCAAAGAGAAGTATACCTACATAAAGGCTATCTTTTAAAAATGGCATCAAATTATATATTGGTAATTTTTAATGTATTGATTATTTTTATATTTAGCTCAATGTATTGTGATGTGATTGCTTCACAGAACTGTACAGGATTCAAGTGTACAACCGAAAAAGACATTATTTGCACACTGCACTAATCGCCCATCATCCCAAATGAAGTCTCTTGGTTCTGCTCATTTTTGGCAATTATGCTGGTTTATGGCAAAAGTGTTTCTTTATACCTCTCCTTCTTTTCGTGTGTGTGTTTTTCTCATCTATTTTCATTAATATCTTCATTTTCTGAAAAATTTCCTTTACCCCAATACCCTATTCTCTTTCAATATAGAAACATACACTCTGAATAACAACACTTAGATTTACCATTTCTGTTTTTCATTTTTTTCCAATTACTGGGACGTGTTTCTGTTGACCTCGCTGCATAAGGCCCTTGTTCCCTCCACTCTCTACCTGTAACCAAGGCCACCATTACTGTCTCCAACGGCCCTGATGACATGTCTCAGATCCTTGTCTGGTACGGGGATGCACCTCACCCATTCTTTCAGTCAGCCTTACCTATTATGTCAGATGCCTGGTTACAGTCAGTCCTTGCTTGGGCTTCACATTTAACTCCTGAATTTAAAAATGGCTTTTCCTCCTTTACATCCACTGGGTCTACAGAGCTGGAATTGGTATGGGTTCCATGGTGGAGTAGCTCTTCTCCTGGACAGAAATGTAATAAATGAAGAATTTCATTTGCCTCCTCTAAGGGAGTGAGCACCCTCACGGCAATCAACAAGCACTTCTCCCTGTAGTTGCACTGCAGGGGAATGCTCATCCATCTGCTGCTCAACCTTGTCCTTTCTCTGTGGCTCTCTTAAAAACAACAGCAACATATTTTTATTGATATTTTGAGATTGAGAGAGAAAGAGAAAGAATAGAGTTATATAAACTTCAATAAGAGAGGAACATCATGGATCAGCTGCCTCCTGCATACACTTCTACAGGACATGGAGCCCACAACCCCGACCTATGCCCTGATGGGGAATCAAACCAGTGACCTCTGAGTGCATATGAGGATGCTCAGCCAACTGAGCCACTCTGGCCAGAGTTTCTCTGTTTTCTTTTGGCTCCCTTTATTATGCAGAGCATTCCGTTTCTTCTTTTAAATGTAGCTTATAAATTTGTGTTCATGTCTGTAACTATATTATACTAGAGGCCCGTTGCAGGAAGATTCCTGCAAGAACAGGGCTTCCAGCAGGCTTTCCTCCTGCCACCACCACCTCTCCCCCCTCTCCATGCTTTCTCTGCCACCTCTGCCCTCTATCCCCCACCCCGTGCTTTTCCTCTTGCCACTGCCGCTCCCCCGGCACTTTCCTTCCCACTGCCACCTCTGCCCTGCACTTTTCTTCCCACTACCGCTGCCCTGTGCTTTTCCTTCCTTCCAGCCTTCTCTGCCCCCCAACCTAAGCTTTCCCTCCTGCAGCCCCCCACCCCCCTGTGCTTTCCCTCCTGCAGCCCTCAACTCCCCTGTGCTTTCCCTCCTGCCATTGCTGCCCCATGCTTTCCCTTCTGCTGCCCCTCACTTTTCCACCTCCCGCCTCTGCAGCCTCACACCACCACTCGCCCCACCCTGGTTTTCCCTCCCACAGCTGCCTTGCTTTCTGCTTTCTTCTTGCTTCTACATATGCTGTCTTCAGTCTTCACTCCTCCCTACCTCAGTGTATGCAAATTAACCACCATCTTTGTTGGGTTAATTTGCATACCTGCTCTGATTGGCTGTGGTAATAGTGAAAATATGGTCAATTAGTATTTTTCTTTTTTATTATTGTGGACTAGAGGCATGGAATTCCCTAATACAACATGAAAAATCTTGAAAATCCATATACACTATGGCCTGCAAACAGGACACCTGGTTGATCCCTTTAAGTCAGCTGCCTTGTAGGTTAGTGATGCTCCATTCTCTGTCCCCATAGCAGAGACAAGTCAATGACAAAGAGCACAAGTGCTCTGTTTGACCCGTACCTTCCTACACTTCTCTCTGTTCTACCTCTTACCCTTCAATTCCCATTTCCCACTTCCTTCATCTGCTGTTTTTTGTGGGGAGACCTCGGAAATCTCATGCTGAGAAACTTGTTGGTAGGGAGCCTCTTCTACCCCCTGGTGCTCCTTGAAATAATCTCTTGTGTCTGATCCATTGCCTTATTTTGGAATCACTTTTTAGAGTACTTTGTCTACACCAGCGGTCTGCAAACTCTTTAGTCAACAGAGCCAAATACCAACAGTACAATGATTGAAATTTTTTTTGAGAGCAAAATTTTTTTAAACTGAGACTATATAGGTAGGTACATTGTTATTAAGTTAATTAGGATACTCCTAAGCTGGCCTTTGCTAAAAACTCAAGGGGCCAAAGAGCTGCATGTGGTTCACAAAGTGCAATTTGCCAACCACTTGCCTACACTAAGTCACAATCACAATGTGCACTCTATAAACTGAAGGAAACTTAGTTTTACATTGATTGATATAGAGAAATATTACAATAAAAGTATTATTTACAATATTGTCTTGTAGCATCAAGACTAGGTCACATTTTTATTTGTGTTTTGCTCATTTCCTAGTGGCTTTCCCTCAAAAGACATGTTTCTAATGCCTCTGGGAAAGTAGGAAGGGAAAAGCAATCTCCACTTAGTACACTAAAGTGCTGCAGATCTGATGACCACTCATGCTATACACAGGATTGAGGGAACATCATTTTGATAACTGTTTTAAGCTCCAGATTTACAAAGGAAATAACACAGAATCCAGGAAGCTACTATTGTACTTCCCTTTATCTCCATGTAACTTTGAGGAAGATTTGAAACATTTGTGTGATTTTATTTTCTCATCTAGAAACAAGAGTAATAATGGCCATCTTTCTCACTCCTCAGGGTTGTTGTAAAGAAAAAGATAAAACACTATTTGCAAAGATCCTTTGTAAAGCCATTCTATATGTCATGACTTGCTGGAAAACTCTCTAGAAAACAACATTTGGGGTTTCAAAACACCTTATTCATTTCTGCTAACACAGGAGAGCTGGAGGAATTGACCCTCAACACTATTCAAACTTTGTGATTAGATGACAATATGACCTTCCAATAAAGAAATATTTAGCTTTCTCTTCTCTGTAGATATCCCTGTATACACCCAACTCTTTATAGCCACAGAATTAGTTTTAATATAAATTCACTACTTTGCTAGCCTATTACTACTATGGAATCAATAGATGGGAACATTGGTTGATTTATAGGACCTATGAATTCATAGGCCACATAATTTAAAAATATAAATGTAATGATTTATTAAGTGCACATCCCAAAGGTCAGGTAAAATAAACACAAAGAATGGGATTCCAGGATAAACTGAGTGTGTGGTATAGGATGAACTGAGTATTGATGCCTCAGGAAACAGTGCCTCTTCATTGAGATTCCTGCACTCCAAGCCTTGAGCTCCCACCTCTTTACCTGGCTCTCTTTTCAATGCTGTGGTGGAAGCTTCAGGGGGTCCATCTCCACTGGTCAATTCTTCAAAGTCCTGACTGTCAATCACTGCACAAAGAAGATAAAAGCACACATTGTCTTGGAGTGAAGCCATGGAGACCACTGAGTGGAAATCCCTTCATGGGAGCAGTAGGAAGACATAGAAGTTAAGTTAAGTTAACTCAGGTCCCTCTGGTCTGTGGCCAAAGTGTGTGACCTTCAGTTGTTCCAGGCCCTACCCGAGAGGTCATGATGTCCATGGACAGAGTGCAGCTTTGCCCAACCTGAAGCACAATTCTTTCATCCAACCTCACTACACAGGCTATCCCCACGCCCATTTTATTTCAACTCCCATCTTCACTCTATCTCTTACCTCCACTCTCTAATATCTCCACCGTCATTCTATCTCTTTCTTTGATTCATTCCAAACATATCTAAATATTTATTAAGCTAGAAAGATGGATTAAAGAGAAGTATACCTACAAAAAGGCTATCTTTTAAAAATGTCATCAAATTATATATTGTTAATTTTTAATGTACTTATTTTTATATTTAACTCAATGTATTGGGATGACATTGCTTCACAGAACTGTACAGGATTCAAGTGTACAACTGAAAAATACATTATTTGCACATTGCATCAATCACCCATCACCTCAAATGTAGTCTCTTGATTCTGCTCATTTTTGGCAATTATGCTGGTTTCTGGCAAAAGTGTCCCTTTATACCTCTCCTTCTTTTTGTGTATGTGTTTTTCTCATTTCCTTTCATGAATATCTTCATTTTCTGAAAAATTTCCTTTACCCCAATACCTTCCTCTCTTTGAATATAGAAACATACACTCTGATATCAACACTTAAATTTACCATTCCTGTTTTTGATATTTTTTCCAATTACTGCGTCATGTTTCTGTTGACCTCACTGCATAAGGCCCTTGTCTCCTCCCTTTTCTGCCTCTATCAATGCCACCATTACTGTCTCCAACGGCCCTGTTGACATGTCTCAGACCTTTGCCTGGTACGGGGATGCACCTCACCCATTCTTCCAGTCAGCCTTACCTATTATGTCAGATGCCTGGTTACAGTCAGTCCTTGCTTGGGCTTCACATTCAACTCCTGAATTTAAAAATGGCTTTTCCTCCTTTATATCCACTGGGTCTACAGAGCAGGAATTGGTTTGGGTTCCATGGTGGAGTAGCTCTTCTCCTGGACAGAAATGTAATAAATGAAGAATTTTATTTGCCTCCTCTAAGGGAGTGGGCACCCGCACGACAATCAACAAGCCCTTCTCCCTATAATTCCACTTCAGGGGAAAGCTCATCCATCTGCTACTCAAGCCTGTCCTTTATGCCTCTCTTAAAAACAACAGCACCTGCTGAAACGGTTTGGCTCAGTGGATAGAGCATCAGCCTGTGGATTGAAAGATCCCAGGTTCGATTCTGGTCAAGGACATGTACCTTGGTTGCGGACACATCCCCATTTGGGGGTGTGCAAGAGGCAGCTGATCGATGATTCTCTCTCATCGATGTTTTTAACTCTCTTTCCCTCTCTCTTCCTCTCTGTAAAAAAATCAATAAATTATATTTAAAAAAACAACACAAAAAAACAGCACCATATTTTTATTGATTGATTAAGAGAAAGAGGGAAGGAAGGAAGAGAGAGAGAGAGAGAGAGAGAGAGAGAGAGAGAGAGAGAGAGAGAGAGAGAGAGAGAAAATAGAGATATATAAACATCAATGAGAGAGGATGAATCAGCTGCCTCCTGCACATACCCCTACTGGGCATAGTGCCCTGACAGGGAATAAAACCAGTGACCTCTGGGTGCATATGAGGATGCTCAGCCAACTGAGCCACTCTGGCCAGAGTTTCTCTGTTTTCTTTTTGCGACCTGTATTATGCACTACATTCAGTTTCTTCTTTTACATTTAGCTTATGGATTTGTGTGCATATCTGCAATTATATTATATTTTAGCTCTGCTGCTTTCTAAAGGTGGTCTTAGAAATCTGGTATTGAAGAAGGCAGATCTCTCATTGGTATGCTTTCCAGAATGACTTTGTGAATAACATTCTTCTCCCTCGCCCCCCGCCTCCACCACATTTCTAAAAATGTTTGGAAAGTTTACTTGATAAAAATATTGAAATTGAATTGTGTTTGAGTGATTGGCCTCTTTAGGTTAATTTATCACAGCCATTAGCCTAACTAATACAAAAGTGAAAATATGAAGTATCTTATATTAAAACAAATTTGTATTTTATATAAACTAGCAAGAATTAAAATTAATCTTTTGTAAAAAACAAACAACAAAAAAAAAAAACACTGTTCATTTGTCAGTGAAAAGTTCTTATTTGCTTGCTCTTGCCTGTTTCGCAAACTATTTTTCCAGATGTAGGTGATTTTCTGAATTCCATAAACTCTAAAAGAAAGAGAACAGTATTTGTTTGCAGTGGTCTTACAAAATCTATGACAACTCACACAACAGATAGGGTTTGTGATAATTGTAATGTTTACATGATCATATTTCTCTTTCTCTCACTTGAACCCAGTCCTGGTGCCCAATGCTGGGATCCTGCCTAGTGTTCCCATTTGCTTTCCATGTGAATTTGTAAATAATCCTGAAACATTATCATCTCCAGTTCCTCTCACTATGAATGCTGGGATAACCTATGTACCCTGTCTCTCTATTAAGGTTTATGTGAAAAGGAATGAACTTTTATTCACAAAATCCCTGTGATAAGTAAAAATGTAAGTCTACCGTTTAAATATTATTTAAGTTTGAAGGTAGTTAGTCTAAACCATGTTTTCCAGAAATAATTAATGTTAGCACAAATTATACTTTCAAGACTTCTAAGTTTAATATTAATACACTATTGTCAACAGTGAAATATTGTGCTCATTCTGCTTTATAGAATATAAACTCTTTGGTATTAGAATATGATAGTGTGTAGTAAAAAGACTTATTTACTAGTATATTATTGCTTCTTTTTCCATATATCAATTGATTGTGCTCATCCAGTCAAACAACCTTATAATGCCTCTTTCCTCCTCCTATATTCCAATAGGATTGAAATAGCTAAATGTTTAAAATTGTATCAATGCTTGTAGAGAACCTCAGAAAAAGATTCATCACTAAAACAGAGCTCCAGATTTAGACTCTGGATATTTGTCCAGAAATACAATATTATCTGATATAGTTTAGTGTCATGAACAGGTGGCTTCTTGGGTCTCTCGTCTCTGTGTAAGGGATCAAGTCCTTAGATCCTAATAGGATTCCTAGGTGTCTCACTGGGTGACCAGGGAACCAATGCAGCATGGAGTTCCCTAAGACAACTTGAAAATTTTTGAAAACCTATATATACCATGGCCTGCACACAGGCCACCTGATCTGTCCCTTTAAGTCACCTGCCTTGTAAGTTAGTGATGCTCTAATTCATGTCCCCATAGCAGATACAAATCAATGGCAAAAAAGTCCCTGTGCTCCATTTGAACTTTACCTTCCTACACTTCCCTCTGTTCTACCGCTTACCCTTCTATTGCCATTTCCCACTTCCTTCATCTGCTGTTTCTTTGTGGGGAGACCTCGGAAATCTCATGCTGAGAAACTTGTTGGTAGGGAGCCTCTTCCACCCCCTGGTGCTCCTTGAAATAATCTCTTGTGTCTGAGCTTATTTGGGGACCACTTTTCAGAGCTCTTTGCCTACACTAAGTCACAGTCACAATGTGCACTCTCTATAAACAGAAGGAAACTTACATTTTACATTGATAGATATAGAGAACTATTAGAATAAAAGTATTATTTACAATATTGTCTTGTAACATCAAGACTAGGTCACATCTTTATTTGTGTTTTGTTCTTCTCCTAGTTGGTTTACCTCAAAAGACATGTTTCTAACACCTCTGGGAAAGTAGAAAGGGAAAAACAATCTCCACTTTGTCAACTAAAGTGCTGCAGATCTGATGACCGCTCATGCTACATAAAACAAGATTTTGATAACTATTTTGAGTTTCAGATTTACAAAATAAAATAAAATAAAATAAAATAAAATAAAATAACACAGAATCCAGGAAATTAGTCTTGTCTTTTCCTTTATCTCCATGAGACTCTGTGGAAGGTTTGAAACATTTGTGTGATTTTGTTTTCTCATCTAGAAACAAGAGTAATAATGGCCATCCTTCTCACTCCTCAGGGTTGTTGTAAAGGAAAAGGTAAAACACTATTTGCAAAGATCCTTTGTAAAGACATTCTATATGTCACGATTTGCTGGAGAACTTTCTAGAAAACAACAATTGGGGTTTCAAAACACCTTATTTATTTCTGCTAACACAGGAGAGCTGGAGGAATTGACCCTTAGCACTATTCGTGCTTTGTGATTAGATGACAATATGATCTTCCAATAAAGAAATACTTAGCTTTCTCTTATCTGTAAAAATCCATGTATAAACACAATACTTTATAATCACAGAATTAGTTTTAATATAAATTCACTACTTCGCTAGCCTATTACTACTATGGAGGCAATAGATAGGAGCACTGGTTGATTTATAGGACCTATAAATTAATAGGCCACATAATTTAAAAATGTAAATATAATGATTTATTACAGTGCACATCCCAAAGGTCAGGTAAAATAAACACAGAGAATGGGATTCCAGAATAAACTGAGTCTGTGGTATAGGATGAACTGAGAATTGATGCCTCAGAAAACAGTTCCTCTTAATTGAAGTTCCTGCACCCAAGCCTTGAGCTCCCACCTCACCTGTCTCTCGTTTCAATAATAAGGTGGATCCTTTGGAAGGCTCATCTCCACCAGTAAATTCTTCAAAGTCCTGACTGTCGATCACTACAAAAAATGAGAATAAAAGAACAAGACAAAAACAAAACAAATAAACAAAACAAAACAACCTCTAGTATCATGGGGTGGGGCCACATTGCCCCTGGTTGGAAACACTTCATAGATCACTAGAAAGACCTAGAAGCCAAGTTAACTTGGGTCCCTCTGGTTGTGCCTGATGTGTGTGACCTGCAGGTTGCTCCAGGTCCTACCCAGAAAGTGGTGACGGACATGCACAGAGGGCAGCTTTGGCCATCCTGCAGCACTTTATTACCCCTTATCCATTTGCTCAACCTGCTATCCCATCCACATTCTACCTCAATTCAGATTTTCACTTTACCTCTTACCTCCATTCTCTTTCTATTGTCTCCACCCTCAGTGTATCTCTTTCTTTCTTTGCATCATTACAAACATATCTATATATTCACTAAACTAGAAAGTCGTTTCAGAGAGAGGTATACATATATAAAGCCTAACTTTATAAAAGTGGCATCAAATGATATATTTTAATATGTTTGTTTATTTAATATCATTTTAAATTTAATTTATTGGTTCACACATTGCATCAATTGCATACCACCCTGAGCAAAGTCTCTTGGTTTAATTCAATTTTGCTAAATAAGCCTGTTTCTGTCAAAGGTATCTCTTTATTCCTTTCCTAGACGTTGTTTGTATGTTTTTTTTGCATGTCCTTTCATGAATATCTTATCTCTCCAAAACTTTTCCTTTTTCTTTAACTCTTACCCCAATATGTTCCTGTCTTTGAATTAGAAATATACTCTCTGATATCAATATTTACATTATCATTCCTGTTTTGATATTTTTTTCAAATTACTGGGGACATTTTCCCTCTGAACTCCATCATAAGGCACTTGTTCCCTCCTCTTTCTACCTCTAACCAAGGTCACCAGCACT